AAGATGAATTAGAGGAAGGAATGCATTTTGTTTTTTGTAATAGCGGTATAGCTGGTGTCAGCATTGGGTAGTTGGGAAATTATTAATCTACAATTTCTTATCTCAGCAAAAATTGTTCACATGTTTATATATCATAATGCAGAAAATATGTTATGATTAACATACTGTTACTGTGCTATTAAATGTGTTATTTGGGATTGTTCAAGAAATCAGCAAGGCAAGGTCTTGGATCAAGTTGTTACTAGCTGGTAAATGAAGAATATGGCCTCATTTTTTAACCTTTCTCAGGTCTTCATGTTTTAACTGTATATCAGAACTGGCAGCCTAAACCTAGAGAAAAATATTTCTAATGTATTTGAAATAGAGCATTTGCTTTGTTTACTAATTAAATACAAATTGAAATTGAATTAAACACTTAAAAGAACATTTTGAAGGATTATGCCTAAGTTACTTTCCAAAACTTTTCTTTAACATTGTAGTTTTGGAAGCAGAATAATTTACATAAGGATTCATGTATTGTGTCAGCAAATAAATGACATGCAATATATTGTGTAATCCAGCGGTTTTGTTTTGTTTTGGAAGCACGCACAATGAGTGAAAGAGACAATGGATGTGTGCTGGCTGAGCTGGAGTGTTTCAGTTTAGAGATTTCAGACCATCTCACAGGCCAAAGCCATCCCTTATAAGCCTCGTTTTTATACAGGATGTTATGTCCAATGTGCTTTGACAATTCACAATTTTGATGTAACAACTTAATAAAACATATTGCAATAAAGCATGCAGCCTAAGTGTCTGTGTGAACACAGCCCCTGCCTTTAACCTTCAGCTCTAATTTGCAGTTTACTTATTGACGCAGTAAAGTACATGGCATTTTTATTTAAATATTGCTGTACAGCCCCCAAGATAAAAGCTAATGTAGGAATGTCAAGAATACGTTGAAGGCTAGAGCTTAAAGAAGCAGTAAAGTCACTTTGGATAAATGTGTTTTCTAGATAAATGTGGATTTCTTCATTCTTTACATGTTACATTTCCAGTCAAAGAGGCTTAGACAACCTGTGTAACTCAACTGTACATGCAGTGTGAACACAATTGCATGACCATGACATTATCTACATTGTCATTGCACCTATTCAAAACACATGAACACAGCATAGTATTGCACTGACACTTGGGGTGACTGGGTCCAATACTGAGGTCACCTCCTGTTGACTCATTAGAAGCTAACTTCCTTTGTTTAGATTATTAAAATAATTAACAGGGATGGGTATAACGATATTTCAGTTCCATACAACATGTTGAACAGAAACCACACTGGGAGTGGTAACGTTCAAGTATACTTTAGCTCATAACTGTTATTTTTCTTGTCTGATAATTACCGTCAGGGGAATGTGACAGCTCCTACTGACGTGGCCAGGAAACTTTGAATAATGAACCTTGCTAGTGTGTGGCTCCATTTGTCACGTTGACTCTGTGTTTATTAGAGACCAGATCAATTGCTGCTAGTTTTTCATCCAGCACATTGTTGGAGTTATAACCTGAATTAAATTAAAAAGTTAAAATTGATGCCGATGGTGACATCTGTTGTGTTCTGTTCACGGCTTGCAATTGTGCAATGCAGATCTAAGTTGTAATTGACACAAGAGGATTTTTTTGTGCTTGGAGTGTGAATGTGTATATGTGAGTACAAAGAGGTTCAAGCAGAGAGCTGTGTCAGCTGCAAAGGAGCAAGTAGAGGTCAACCCACGCTGAAAAGAAAGAAAAATATGTTTCGGCTTTTGAGCTACCTTCAAGCCTGAAGAAGGATCCAGATCCGAAATTTAGTCTTTCTACTTTTCAGCTTGAAATTAATCTCTGTTTCTATGGATGGTGTGGTGGCTAAGGATCTGCACCTGTGGCAGGAAGGTTGCTGGTTCATATCCCGCAGCTGGCAGAGTAATCCTCCTCTGTCGGGCCCCTGAGCAAGGCCCTTAACTCCAACTGCTCTACGAGTGCCATATAAATGACTGACCTTGTGCTCTGACCCCAAGCTTCTCTCCCTGTCTGTGTCTCATGGAGAGCAAGTTGGGGTATGTGAAAAGACAAATTCCTAATACAAGAAATTTTATATGGCCCATAAAGTGATCTTATCTTATGTTATAACAAATGCAAACATACAAAACAGAAAAGCCGCTTATACATAACATGGCTCTTATACATAACATTGTTTTGTTCTAACCCTGTGGTTAAAAGCCAGTGGTGCCTGTGTTTCAGATCATTGCCATGAAAGATGGCACTGTGCTTCGAGAGGGGACCCTGAAGGACATCCAGAATAACGATGTGGAGCTGTATGAACATTGGAAGACCCTCATGAACAGGCAGGACCAAGAGCTAGAGAAGGTCATTTCCACATACTCAGCTTTCACAAAAATACCACATCGAATAGAACACAGTTAGCTTGTGCTTGCAAAAAAAAAAACCAGCTAGTCACTCATTCGTGGCATCTTTCGAACAACAAGATATCATTTATCCATCCGTCCTTGTATTATCTAAACTGCTTTACCCAATAAATTGTCGCTGGGAGACCTAGAGCGCAGAATTGATAGTGCTTATTATATAAGCTTGTGACTGATGCAATATATTTCAGACCTTTTTATACCTTTATATAATTTATATTTTAGAAAATATTTAAAGTATCAGTAATTAAGGACTTAAAATTTGAGTGAAAAATAGAAAACTGTGGTGAAGGCCCTGATTTAGGGGGTTTGTGACAGTCTAAATTGGTTGCTTGTCTACAGCAGGTTTCCTGACATTGTTTTATTTTAATGATTGAATTCATGTTTGTTACTTTAACGTGGAAAGAAACCATTGAGATTTTGGATTTATTTACTGCAGTTTTTTTTCTGGAATGGCAAATTAAAAATATAACTTTCAAACAAGAAGAATTTAGAACACTTAAAACTGGAGATTTAAAGAATTCCATTTTGGCCTTGCTTATTACTTTTTTTACTTTGGTAAGCATTTTTACCCAAATTTACTGTGTATGATAAAACATCTTTCATTGTTAACTGCAACTACTTTTAATTTTTGGGTTCAGGCAACGATAGACATCCTTACTTGTCCAAATGTTCATCGCTTCTCACTCCTTGTTAATGAAAAAGATACATATTTATAAGTAGTTAAAAATGGAACAATATGGGAACATAATTTGCGGTTATTTTACTTCAGTCTGTTCATTCACATACTGTATGTCACAACATGCCCCTGTATTTTTTTTTCCTTAAGGACACTGAATCTGATAGCTTAACAGCCCTGGAAAGGAAGAATTTGAGAAGAGCCCTTTATTCCAGAGAAGCTAAATCCCAGACAGATGACGAAGATGAAGGTAAATAGAGACTCTGTTTTTGGAAGATGAGAAATAGTCAGTTGTTGTGGCTGGATATCCAGAGTAGTAATTCCAAGAAGGGCTCCGGAACCAGTGTTTGGCTTCCAGCATGTATTTGTACACCATCATCGTACCAGTTAATTTCTGTGTTGATGGAGTCAAGAGATTCATTCCAAACAGGAATGTAGGGCATAAGAAGCTAGAAAAGCTTCTTTCATTCTGGTACGTTCTTGTAAAACAATAATGTGTGACCTAAGACAAAACTGTATTCTTAGCCCTTACATTGTGTAAATATTATGTTTATGGGCTGATGGAAGGAATTACGTCTTCCCTAAAGAGGCCTGGTGTGTGAAGGTACAGTAAATGTTGCTAAACCCTGCTTTGAGTCCATTTTGAGAAATATCTTCCAGCATGTGGTTGAACGACCTTCATCAGTAAGCTGCTGACAAGCAAAAGCACATGATGGGACCACAGTGCTCTTATATCCATCTGGTCTCTTGCTTTGTAGAAGCTTTAAGTTTAATTGTTTTTTCTTAAAAAGAAACGTGTGTGGTGGTAGGGGGAGAGTGGAGTGCTAAGTTCTTGTTTGTCTCCTACTATGATCCTCACAGAGGAGGTAGAGGAAGAAGATGACGAAGACTCTCTTTCTACTATCACGAGCCGCCGTTCCAAGATCCCCTGGAAGGTGTGCTGGAGATACCTGACCTCTGGAGGCTTTGTGCTGCTCTTCATGATGATCTTCTCCAAGCTGCTCAAGCACTCTGTCATCGTTGCCATTGACTACTGGCTGGCTACCTGGACGTCCAGCACCTACAGCCCACCCAGCAACTCCAGCAGCACTACCAACACCACTCTGGAGGAATCGGTGCGTGTGGGGACATTTCTGATAGGCCCCGCGCAGTGATTTTCTTGTAGTTTTTATGTGTTATAAACTGGATCATGTAGACAGACATCAGTGTGAGTGGAAAGCAAGACCCTGAAGGAATGGCTCAATACTTAATACCTCACCACAGTTCCTGTCATTCTGGTAGAGGAACATTCCAGTTTTTAATTTCCTGCCAGTCCTCTGCAACCTGGTGTGACAGTAAAGAGTGCAGCTCCCAGTTTAAATGATGAGTTACATTGCTCTACTGAACCCCAGTTAGTGATTTGACTGTATTTTTCAGGCCACTGAAAATAGAATCGCCTAGTTTTGATCTCAACTTTCTCATAATGCTGCTAGCATTACAGAAACACAGTACCACCTAGTAGCCTGATCTCATCACATCAGTACTGTAGATCTGTATTGTAGTAGTTATCAGTACCGGAATAGGAGACTTTCAGGTAAAACCAGGCTGCTTCAGTAAGTCTTAAAGGTGTAATTTTATAGTATGGTGATCAGGGATATTGTGCTGTTGGATGTACTGTACATGTACTATTCTTTGGATAATGCATTAAACTGAGCTGCTGAATACTTCATCATGAAAGATCCCATGGCACTGGGGTTGTATCACTGGTATGCTGACTAAATGCCGTTTTCCATTCAGCTTGCACAGTCTGACCTTACAAAAGCTCACCCTGAAATCAACTAGTAAAGAACTTTCTCACCTCTCAACCTGGTGTGCTGCGAAGTGGAACTACTGGTGCCCTACTATTGGTCAATCCAGTGGGTCCTATAAGGAAGGTGCTTTGGGATCTTTTAGTATGGTGAATGTTACATAAATGCCAGGAAACATTGATATTATTAATGATAATAATCCTGTGTATACTGAAAACTCTCTCCCTCTCAAAGTCAAAACTCCTTCATAGTACCTAGCTGTTTTGCCTTTCTAAGGTTGCATATCTGTCATTTCTAGAATCGTTCCTATTACATTGCGGGGTTCAGTGTGCTGTGCAGTGCAGGAATTGTTCTGTGTCTCATCACCTCGTTGACTGTGGAGTGGATGGGCCTTTCAGCTGCCACCAATCTTCATCACAACCTGCTCAACAAGATCATCCTTGCCCCTATTAGGTACTGCTTGACTCTGTTATTTTGAGTGTCAATTTAGAAATGGGCAGTGCAAATTCCACCTATTCTTTGCATGGGATCTGGAAAGTTATTGTATATTCTGGGGAGTACAAACATCATGTACTCCCAAATTTATATTCTACATAAATTTATCTTCAACACCAAGAGTAATGTTACATGCAGAAAAAAACAGTATGAAAAAGGCTTCTGTGTTATTCTTAATTCCAAGATTACAGTCTCTTCTTGAAGATCTGAGAGGCTGCTTAATTCATTGGATTTTGTTTAGCTGCAGAGAAATAAGCATTGAACTATTGGTGGCTATTGGAAACAAGCTGAATAAACCCTTAAGATATGATTCTCATTACCAAAACATAATCAGTTTTCCCTGGGATCTGTAGCATGAGTCTTTTCCACAAGGGGAATTCTGTGTCATTTACCTTATCTGTACTGGAGATGTGCCATTTCAATTTAATTCATATTGTACTCTGTTGATAGTGAAATCATGTGGTTCTAGGTTTTTTGATGTCACTCCGCTTGGACAAATCTTGAACCGTTTCTCTGCAGACACCAACATCATAGATCAGGTAAGATAAAAGAGAAATATTTTATTTTTTAACAAATGGTGTATGAACTATTTTAAAGTGTTGATTAGAGCTAGTCTCTTTACACTCTGGTGAATATTGTACTCATTTCTTGGCCTGTTTTATTTAAGAGTTAAAGAGGAACTGAGGTCCAGTCATTAAAATCTGGTAACAAAATAAACTGAAGGCATGACAAAATGGTACAAATTCTGAATTAAGCAAAAAAGTGTGAATTTTGTGAAAGTACTGTTTGTTTGCCATGTTGCAAACTGCTGGTCTCGCCAAGGACAAGTGAGAGTGAATGAGAGTTCGAGAGAATTGTGACTTGAGGCGGCCCTTCCTGCTCACTAGTTAATATAATTACTAATTAAATGCGATGTACGAATGAATAAGTACAGGTTTTGGAGCAGACATTTCACCTCATAAATTCCAACGTCATCTGCATACAGCTAACAAGTAAGTAGTATTTGTCTGCAAAATTATCTAGAAGTCGAGAGCAATATTTCAATTGAATTAAAAGAGATGTATTCAGAAGCCTGCTTGTTTATAATGTTATAGGGCCACTTCACATCACCGGATGTTTTGTTGCCTCGTTCTGATTCGCAGACAATAATGGCAATATGGCACTGGGCATACAGTACCTGGAAAATTGGGGGTTTAGGTTTAGGAGGTAGAAACTGGGAGGAGCCACGAGGCATTACGCTACATGTCAGCTGCTTGTAAAGTGAAGACAGTATCTGGCAGTTCGACTGGGTGTGAGTTTTCCTCTGTTACTAACGAGATAAAGCAGGGTCTTAGGCAAGCCTTTTTAGGGACCTACATTCAGCTTGGAAGATTTCCTTACATCAGCATGCTGTGGTTGCTGTCTAGACACCTCTATCGGGACAATTTATGTGCAGATTTCTCTCTCACTCCACCAAACCAGGGGGAAATCTGTTACACATGGATAAGCAGCAGAACAACATAGTACCATATAAAACAATGTCAGTACACAGGACTATGTGCCTAAGAAAGAAGAAAACTGTTTCCCCACATTAATATGAATGATGGTTGAACTACTTCATTTGGCTTTAGGTGTGAACATATCTGAAGAAGGTTGTCCAGAATTTGGGCAGGTGGACATGTCGATATGTAAGGTGTGAGTGAATTATGACGATGGCTCTTCTTGCTGTTCCTCAGCACATTCCCCCAACGTGGGAGTCTCTGACACGTTCCACACTCCTCTGCCTCTCTGCCATCGGAGTCATCACCTTTGTCACCCCTTACTTCCTCATCGCTATGGTGCCGCTTGCTGTGGCTTTCTACTTCATCCAGAAGTACTTCCGGGTCGCCTCCAAGTGAGTGCTAACTTCGGTTTACACCAGCTCTGGGACTGAAGAGCACCGGGTCTCCTTGCGTTCTCACCACCTCTGCCTTCAAGCAGAGGCAATTAATACAATTAATGCCAAAAGAAGATGATTGAAAAAGATTGAAAAATAAGGTTTTTGTCGTCTTTTTCCCTCACCGTTGATTAGGAAGGCTTAGAAAGATCTCCCTCTTGCTCATTTGTGTACAGTGTATGTTTGAAGAGAAAATTAAATCAATACTATTAGAATAGATTGCCAAAAAGTTTATAGTGAGTACAGAAAACAGCAACTACTGTATATTCTCAGAAAGGATATAACATAATGTAATATATTTTTAATAATTAAGACTATATCTTCTTATATTAACTTGATATACAGTAAGTATTGAATTGCCCCTGACTACTATAAAGTATGTCCTTTCTATATTGTATTTTTTTTTAGTTTATCTGAGTTTCTCCTAGATAACATAGGTTTTTATTACTTACTCTTATGCGTCTGTTTTCCACGTTCCTCCCCATGTTACTGCTCACAGAGACCTTCAGGACCTGGACGACTCCACACAGCTGCCCCTGCTTTGCCATTTCTCAGAGACAGCAGAAGGTCTGACCACCATCCGTGCTTTCAGGTCTGTGAACGTTTCTCCTGCCCCTTTGGTACGTCTCATCCAGGCTGGTCACAGCCCCTCTACCCCTGTTCTTTCTCATTCCAGATGAATTAACTAAGCAATTAAATCTAAGCCATGACTTTGAATGTGAATATGCTGGACTGCTTGATGACAGATGAATAACAATATTTACAGACAATATATCAGCACAGTGCCCCTTTTTGGGCCATAGACTGTAAAACAATATGAAATGGTGAGAAGGAACAGAACATAAGACCATTTATCTTAATTAGGATCATTCACAGAACACGCTATCTCTTTGTGTCGCCAAAGACATATTTGACCGGTCAATCTGGCCCGTATTTCAAGGATCGCAACGTCTAATACAATAGATGTAAACTGTGAAATCATCTTGCAATTCACAATAGAACTGCCTTTTCCCTGCTTAATGGGGTATGTTAGTAAAAGGATAAAAAAAGCTTTATCTTACTTCACTGTAGTGAGTTTTGCTTAACAGCGAGAGGAATCCATTACATTTCTCTGACAACTGCCTAGTAGTGGAAGAATGTTAATATAAACAACTTGACTTTCCAAAGTCTCTGTGCCAGACATTTCTTCAAAACACAATCCACTGCAGCTGGGCACACTAACTCTGAGCTGAGTTCAGTCTGGGCAACTGTTGAAGGCTACACGGTCCTAACACACTATCTGCCTTCACCAGCTTTAGCAACCCTACTCATGAAGATATATAATAGAAGGCTTATGAAGATGAATAATGATGCTATAACACTGAGGCTATGCAAATATAAGTTGGGGGATTTTCATGCCAACTGCTGATGTTTACGCAGAGGTTGGACAAAATATTTTCTTTTTGTTCGTGGTCTTTTAAGTCTCCTATGAAATCTAAATCCAGATGTGTGTCATAGGCAGTGAACTGTTTTCTTTGTGCTCTCTAGACACGAAGCTCGTTTTAAACAGAGAATGCTGGAGCTCACAGACACCAACAACACTGCGTATTTGTTTCTCTCGGCTGCCAACAGGTGGCTAGAGGTTCGAACGGTGAGTGTGGGATTTGTCCCATTTGTATTCTATCAACATAGCAGGCCTGCAGCCATACCTGTCTGAAGACAGTTTTCTGCAGATAACAGCAGCTCGAGAAGGTGAGAGCTGGTCAATATTGGTGGTGGTGGAGGGGAGTCCCTATGACCTGTTAAACGCTTTGAGTGGAGTGTCCAGAAAAAGCACTAAGTGTAAGTAATTATAATTATTATTAATATATGCACAGAAACAACACCTACTTATTTTTCCTTTTCCTTAATTTTCTGTTTCACTGTGGCTTAAAGGTCCTGATGTGAAACATTGTAAATATGAAACCTGTAGTGTATGCATGGGTATGTTTTAGGTAATGCTAGCAGATAGATCAAAAAATATAATGCAGGTGTAAAAGCAGCTCTGGAAGATGTCATTATATTGTGTGCCAGAGTAGCGATAGTTGCAAAGGGGGTTTATATGGTTGGACAGTCTAGAGAGCCATGTGAAGGGGTTAATCAGGATTCATATGATTAATAGAGAGATCAGGCAAATGTGTGTGTGTGTGCAGAAACCTGCAGAACCAGGTGCCACTGGCCAGGCATGGAGAAATATTCTGTACTATGGTCATGGTGATCAAGAAGGTGATGAGAGGTGGGCATGGCTACAATAATATAACAGAGTCCTAGACCAGGGCCATAACCAAATCTATTACTATTTAATCAAAATATTGTGTTCTTTTAATCCTCTAGTTTTCCCATTGCTAGTCGTTTCACCTGTTTTCCTGTGGCACTGAATCGTTATGGTCTTTCGCCCTAGATAGGGCTTTACCATAAATATTGCTGGCACAGCTCTTCTGTAAAGAGTTCTTACATCCTTGAAAAAAATAGAAATGCATAATAACTTCTTACACTTACAGTATATAGCGCTTTTCTGGACACTCCACTCAAAGCACTTTACAGGTAATGGGGATCTCCTCCACCACCACCAATGTGCAGCATCCACCTGGATGATGCAAACGCAGCCATAGTGCACCAGAACGCTCACCACACATCAGCTATCAGTGGGGAGGAGAGCAGAGTAATGAAGCCAGTTCATAGATGGGGATTATTAGGAGGCTATGATTGGTAAGGGCCAATGGGAATTTTGGCCAGGGTTACACTGCTGCTCTTCTCGAGAAACGCCCTGGGATTTTTAATGACCACAGAGAATCAGGACCTCGGTTTTATGTCTCATCCAAAGGATGGCACCTTTTTACAGTATAGTATCCCCGTAACTATACTGGGGCATTAGGACCCACATGGACCGCCCCCTGCTGGCCCCACCAACACCTCTTCCAGCAGCAACCTTAGTTTTTCCCAGGAGGTCTCCCATCCAGGTACTGACCAGGCTCATACCTGCTTAGCTTCAGTGGGCTGCCAGTTGTAAGTTGCACGGTGATATGGTTGCTGGCATTAAATTTAAGTTGAAGCTAACGTTATTGTTAACAAGCTGAATGTTCAAAGTTTGTAGAACATATAGCAGTAACATTTCTCGTAGCTGCTGACCATGTACTCCTCTTGTTCCTCAGGATTACCTTGGGTCTGTGATTGTCCTCTGTGCGGCAGTGGCCTTCATATGGAGCTCCATGACAGGACTGCAGTCAGGGCTAGTGGGACTGGGCCTGACATATGCACTCACGGTAATTGCTCAGATACCAATTAACGTTTACACCCAACATTCCTAATTGATAATGGTACTCTAACATTTTTATTGTTGGTGTATACCATTGTTATTGCTGGTATAGTTGGTGTATGGGATAGAGGCTGGTATAGAATTCTTTGTTCTTTGGCACAGCTTTGGTGAAAAGAGTAATTGAGGCACAATGGGTTAAACAAATATTTCTTAACAGTGACAATACACACACAAAACAACACAAAATGTACACATGCTGTACAACATTCAAGTTATTCTAGGTACAAATTTACAAATAAGGCATCCCGGAGGCCAGACTGCTACCAAGTACTCAACCCCTAAAAACAAAATTAAATACTTATACTCCAATCTGTTTTGTTCAGGTGATCTGGAATAAGGACCTCTTACCTTTTGTTACTCTTCTCTTGTCTTATTCTTGTTGTACCCTCTCTTGCCCACTCTGCCCCCTTCCTTACCTGCCTGTTATATACCGCTTTCCTGGCCTGTTGATTGACACTTAATTATTTACCCAGAACTTAATTAGCTAAGGTAAACCAAGGTAAACTTTACGATAGCTTTGATCACTGAATCTGGTCCTCCTACACCTCAGCATAGATCCCCTTGCTTTGAAGCTGAAAATGTTGAGGAGAGCCAGGTATCACAGATTCACTTCATAACAGTATATTAGAAGTTGTTGTCTTGTTTGCAATGTCACGCTAAGCTCAGTGAACAGAATAAATACAGTAGCAAAACCTTTGAAACACATATGTGCAAAATGCTGTTTTTAAACTTAAATATGTCACAGTATTTTTTGAGAATTTGTTCTTTTGCTCCCAAGCCTACTGCATTTTAAACAGGCACCTAACAACAAATTCTGTAAACGTGTATAAACTTTTATGTTTCTGTCAGGTTGTGTTATTTGTCAGTTAAACTGTCTATGCTGAGATGGAGGAGAACATCTTTATCACAGCCTCTTAATAGTAACAGTCTGAAATGACCTTAGGACCTAAGATGTTCTGTCACTAGTCTTTGTTTATGTGTATCAAGTGGGCTATCTTGTGAGTTACAGTGAGCTGTTTATGGAAATTTGTGATAAAAATGAGGATCACTGTTGGAAAAACATGTACAGCAGACATACAGTAACTATTGACCTTATGTATGAAAACAACATTATTCAAAGTTTTAAGCATAATGTTTTTCTTTCTATTTATGTGAATTATACAGTATGTCCCAATCCCAATGATACTTTTCCAAACACTCTTTCACCTAACTAGCAGATTTGTTTTTTTTGGAATATTAATTTAAGATAACAGGTGTAAATACACTAAAATAATACTTAAAACAAATGTTAAATGTTTAATGTTTAAGAAATGTTGGTATTTTGCCATTTCTTTCTGGGACATTCTTTCACTTGGGCTGGATATGCTGTTAATCAATCAATAGCCTACAGTAGTTAGAATTGTTTTTCTGCCCAAGTGATATAGTGTTTATCTTCTTCCTCTTTCTTTATTTCTTGTCTCAAACCTGATTCTCTGACTCGAATTGATTGATAATATTTATATAGAGCTTTTCATTAACATATAATAGGGGACTGACTTCATTCACTGCTGACGTGCAGCCCCCACCTGGGTGACACACAGCAGCCATTCTGCACCAGCAGCTGACCTATATTGCAGGTCAGGTGGAGAAGTGAGAAATTATTAAGGCTTCACCAGTTGTGTTAAGCAGGTCAGATTGTGCAGACCTGAAGTGAAATGCCAAAGGCTTTTAGTGTCCAAAAATCCAGAACATCAGTTTATTGTCTAATCTCTAGGTATAGCACCTCCTTCAGCACAGTGTAAGTCTGCTCCAAAGGGCAATGTATCACCTACTGGTCTTCCAACACTGGTAATACTTGGGCCCACAATTTCTAGACCTCAGACAGTAGAATTCTTGTAAATATTCTGATAGTTGATGTTTAAATCATTCCGGAAGATAGTGTCTGATTGGGGTCATGGAAGAATATTCTATATGTTTTCTATAACTTCAGCTGATGTGAGTTACATCTGTTGAATTCAGCAGCACAAGTACTGTATGCTTTAAATGTGAGTTAAGTTTATGAGTTTGTTAAGAATATAAGAAAACTGTGAATACCAGAGTTCCTCAGCCAAGACATAAATCTTACTTTATGTGATAGATTGGTGAGTATATTCAAGAGTTGAAGGTATGTAATGTTATGGGCGTTTTTCATCAATAGATTGCTAAATGTCATTCTTTTAAACAACCCTGCACTTGTTTTACTTGTGTAATTGTTCAGGTCTTTTACAGAATGCAGACTGTAAATATTATGGCAGGGGGAATGTTGTGTGGGGTAGGCTGTTTCTGTTAAATGACATGAGTCTGTTTACATTCAAGGGTGTGCAAGGATGTATGTCTGATCTTAGATGCAACTAGAATGTAGGAAAACTCTATAAAACAAAAATATATGACCAGTACCAGTCACAGAATTGATCTATACATATATAAGATTTATATCAATATTGTTTCTCAGATTACTATTCTTGAATGTTTTTTACTTTGTGAAGTCTTTTGCCTTTTGACAGTGGGGTTATTATTCCTGCCTGAACATGCTTAGAATAATCTGTTGGTCAATGCACAAATCTATAGGGGTTTGTTAAACTCACAGGAAGGAGTTGACCTCCAAGAGATCATTGAACATAAGAAAACTGAATAGTACTCAATTAAATGCCACAGACCTTCATTAAAGTAATTCCTTTGAACTTGTTTTTTTAATTACCAATTTTATAAACCCAGTGTTCATCAACCTTAATAATGGTCACTCTTCACCCACCTTACTAGTAACAATAATGAATACAAGGTTTATTACTTTTGTATAACAAAGCTATCCATTGTTGTACATAGTCTCATAATCAATACTAATATGACAGAGGGAAAATTTAGGCACAAGGTCACATTCGCAATGTGCATGTTAAATTACAACTCCAGCTCTTGATCTCCATTCCCTTTTGGAGTTGTGGCAGTTGAACAATATCAATTATGAGGAAAAGATCGCCAATGAATGAGAAAAACCTAACTGTTACATTGGTGGAATGTACAATTGTAAGACCCATGCTAGCCCAGTACTGCATAAAACTATCAAATCTAATCTAATGAGAATTATGGAAATGTTAGGGATTTCAGAGGAATTATCAGAAACAAATCCTGGATTAAAGAGGTAGGTCTGTGATATAAGATAAGGAGAAGTGAACTTTCATGCCAGCTGTGCTGGTCCAGACTATTCTGCCGTTCCTTAACCTCACCCGCCCTTTGTCTGTCTTTGTTCCAGGTGACTAACTATTTGAACTGGGTGGTAAGGAACCTGGCAGATCTGGAGGTGCATATGGCAGCAGTAAAGAAAGTGAATGGATTCCTGACCACAGAGTCGGAGAACTATGAAGGCTCGATAGGTACAGTGTGCAATCCTTATTGTTGATCCAGTTCTTTGGTCTTCATTAATTCGAGAATTGCAGAGCTGATTAGAGTCAACGACCTTTGTAGAACATTATAGACCTTTAAAGAAAGACCTTTGAGGAACATTAAAGAAAACATAACGTTTCGGCCGTGGAGCCTTCTTCAGGTGTCAAGGAACCTGTTTTCTTTCTTCTTTTTTTTCAGCGTGGAATAAACCTATTACTTGTTCCTTTGCAGCCTACGCATGCTGACGCAGCTCCCCACCTGAACTATTATAGACCTTATTTTTGTTTGATCACACTTATTGCCCACCACCAGTTACACCGTTAACTGTTGTGCTGTACCCATAGAACATTAAGGCCATTGGAAAACCACAAAAAAAAAGTTACTTCCATACTAATCTTTTTGTCAAGTCCTACAGTACGTTGACATTGTACTGATTTAAACATGCTATTACCTATATTAGAAACATATTTTCTTCACCTGTAACTGGGTAGAGCTCAAAGTATTTTGGCTTTGGTAAATACCGCTAAATCTAATGACAAATATAAACTATTTGAAAATAGAAATTGGCTGGTTTATAGCTGATTCAATTATGGTATTTATCCCCAACCACTTTTCATTTAAAGGAGCACCAGCTGTATACTGTATTTATTATTATAGTTTTACAAACTAATGTGACATAAATTGATCTCAGTATTGAGAGTTAGCCATATGTGCTTTTGGTACTGTGGGAGATACAATACAATACAATCTCCCATTGTAAAATAATTTAAAATAATTTACACCCTGAACAGCGTCAGCTGAAATGCCAGAAATAGGGAGTTCGGCTTTACGTCTAGGAGCCTAACAGTGACATCACCTCTGTGTAAAAATCCTTTGGCAATATAATATTCCCTGTCAGCATGTAAACATGTCCCATGGTAATGGCAGAAGAATTGGCCAGGAAAGGAGGTTCAGCAAAGCATAAACATATTCTGAAATGATACCCCTGAACTTTTAAGGCCTTTGGATTTATCAATGCTAAAAATGGAGTATTCAATCTGTGAGGTAATGGAAAAATCTACAAGATAGCACTGGAAGGTCCAATCTGAGGGGAATTAAATGTTTAAAGCTCATGAAAGAGCTAGCATTTCATCCACTCTAGTTAATTCCTTTTTCTTCTTTCTAAGAAAATCATGATGTTCTCTCACTCTGAGAGTGAGTGGTACTGTTATTCTCAGTGGTACCATGGTGGTACTGTTATTCTCAGATAATATCGTGTTTTTTGAAGTAATTGGAAACCTCATCAGCATATTATCTTATGCTTTCCATTTGTTACAAATGAGAATATTTCTATTCTTATATAGTATTTCCTATATCAATTCATTGTCTCCTTATGTAATACCTAATATCAATCTTCATATTCATCTCTGTATAATGGAAACTCTTCTATCTTTGGGTTATGAAGGGTATTATATGGGGGGTCTTATATACAGTAGTGTATGCAATAATAAATTACAAGGTACAGACTGTCACTTTCTCCAAAACCCTCCATTTAAAACACATGAAGAAGCCCAATCAATTAATTTGAATACCAACATGTTAAATGTATAGATATACAGTATAAGCAGTATCAATGTAACAGATCTGTAATGAACTGTACATCTGCAGTTTCAAAGAGGCAAAGAGAATTGATATTGCAATCACAATGTTATGTTTATTTCCACAGCATAATCATAGTTGATCTGGTGAGAGTGGATGGCTCACTTTTCAATGTATAAGTCATCTCGGATAACACACAGCACATAAAACACAGCTTCATTATGCCTTAAATAAACTGAAAGGGGTCTTATTTGGGTTAAATGGGCTTTTGTTTTTCTACACAGTCTATAATCTGTCTTGGTATCAGATCTATTACATCTGCCTAGAATGCTGTTTGGAATCTTCAAACTTCATCTACTATATGTGAAATGCATGTAGATGTTCATTCTGTGGAAGAATTGGACTCAGTCCTAAAAATACTCAGTGTGCACTCCAGTATTTTCCTAATTTAAATGTTGTTCCTTTGCCTACAACAACACAATTTTACAGAAGGGCTGATAAAGCATGTTAAATACTAAAACAACACACAAACAATGACAAATGATAGATTACCAGAATAATAATCTTAAAATTCTTAATTTATTTTTTTCCCTCTTGCAATATGGTATATTATCACTCTTGTTTTGTTTTATATTTTTTAGTTCAATGTGAAAATATCATAAAACACGCTTAGAGATGTAGTTTCTTGATGAATGTGGCAACTTAACACCTGTAACTTGAATTATTTGATCCTCTTTGATTTAGTAAATTACTCTATTGGAATACAGTATATGGAATCCGTGCTATAGTCGGATTCTTAGGGGTGCACTCCTGATGATCCCAAAATGAACTACGCTGTGTCCTATTTGGCCTCTGCTGTGCCAGATCTCTCCCAGGTCCCTGAGGACTGGCCCCAGCAAGGAGAGATCAAGATCCAGGACATGTGTGTGCGGTATGACCCCATGCTGAAGCCTGTCCTCAAGCATGTCAATGCCTACATCAACCCAGGCCAAAAGGTAGGGTCTCCAGACCTTTATAACGTGCTTGGTTGCTAGTGATCCAAGAATCCAGTTTAGTAATTTTCTATCAACTCCTACATTATTGGTTTGAACAAGCTGGTTATACAGTTTGTTCCTGGCTGCTGTTACCTGCTATGTAAAGGATTATCTCCTTAAACAACCATTTTAGACAATTTGTTCCTGACCAATGTGACTCTCGGTATGAAGCACTTCCTCCATGTGTAGCTCCTGGCACTCTAAATGAGATTCAACGTTTTGTATAAAACTGTCTAGCTAGGCTAATATTTTAAACATAAAAGTTCCATGAAAGCTGTGCTGTTCAAGCTACTGTAGCTCCTTGGAGTCTCTCAAGAGGTGACTTGATGGAATTCTTAAGATCAAGAAGCTAAAAGGCCAAGCAAGCAGGGAGAGGAATGGCTTCTCCTCACTCCTTACTCGTTCCTCATGTTCTTGTATTCTGGTGCGAAACAAGAGCATTAGTGATATGCAGAGTACTGTCAAAGCAATGCTATGCATATCACTTTGATCAGATGTTTTAAAAACAGAGAATATAACAAAAGGTTTAAAAACTCAAAACTATAAATATTTTCAAGATGTAGGAAAATCCCAAGTATGTGCTAAACATGCCAGAGGTTGTAATGTAGAGAGCTCTTGAACTCCTCTCTGGTGTCTCCCAGGTGGGCATCTGTGGGCGTACAGGCAGTGGAAAATCCTCGCTGTCTCTGGCTTTCTTCAGGATGGTGGACATGTTTGAAGGTTAGTTTCCATGAATTACATCGTGCTTTGAAAAACACAGACCCGTGCAGGGGCCCTCGACAGCTGAATTTCCCACTGCCGCCACACTTCTTTTAATAGGATCTGAATTCTCCCTTCTGATACATCATTTCATCCTTGACAAAAGCTGTGTTTTGCTGGGTCTGTACCACCCACTGTTCTGCTGTGCTCTGAGCAAGAGGAAGGTGCCGACAACTATTTAGCAGCGCTGATGATTGTTTTTGTGCTGACGTGTGAAAATGTCTGGGGGCAATCTTGTCCGTGCTCTAAAGGCTCATTTTGGCCGAGTGTTCACAGTGCATCACGGATACTCCTCTACAATTTGTCACACTTGAAGGGATCCCTTCAAAACCTTCTCTTGGTGGAATATTTAATTAAAACAGCATGTTAGAATCTTTCTCAAGAGAGTGCACGCACATGCAAAGTGGGTGACGCACATGAGAGGAGTAGATGATGTAGGCACAGCTAGAAAAGTAATCAGTGCTGCTTTCTGGATTTTCATGAGCCGTACTGGCTGCACAATATATGGGGCTGTATTTTCCACACATCGGAGGATTCTGCGATCAGCAAAAGCCACGACACTTTAAGTCCTGGGCTTTGGCGCTTGTACAGCAGCCACTCATTTTCCATCACAGCTTGTTCCTGATGCTCACAGTCACAGGAGTTTTCACAGAGCTCAAGGATGATTTGGCAAGGGGAAAAAAACAATCATACGTCATCAGTCTGACTAGCACATGCCTCACCTTTTGGGAATGTTCTTCTTCCATGTGTTGTATTTTCTCAAAAATGACATTAACTGGCTTCATGAAAAGGAATAACAAAATCACGCAGCACAGCAGGACAGATATATTCCAACGCATCATGGCAAACATTCCATTTCCTGTGCCACTGTGTACGTTTCATTTTAGGCTTCAGCTACAGAGTAAAGTATTTGTCTGGTCTATTTATTTAACCCTGGTTTATTTCCAGCAAAACCAAAGCTTCATTCATAAAGAGGAAGCAGAGGGTCAGGCAAAACAGTAAGCACATTTGGGGTTATTCATAGAAACAGATGTCTTAATCAAACCATTCTGTTACGGTAGAACACTGAATTGTTTACCTCATTCATAAAGCCACCATCGGGATAACATGATGTTCTTGTTGTGCTGATAAAAGTGATAGAAAATAGTAAACATGATAAAGCACGCTGTGGTAATGGCCAATAGAATTCACATTAATGATGGAAATCCAAATAGCTGAAATTGTGCTCTCAACAACATTTTATTCTAAGAAGAGAACATACTGACCATGTATAAAAATGGTTAATAAATTAACTCAAAGTCTGGAAAAGAAATTAAACACATGTGGCCTGAGCCATGCTGATATTGCTACAACAGACCATCTTCAGATAATCTGAAAAGTGTGAGTGAATCAGGCATTATTTGCAAGACCACGTAAGTATCTTTGCTCACAGTAAGGACACGTAAGAAATGATGACTACCTAATGTATTGTGGCCTACGTAAGTGTGTGAAGAAAGTCCTGGGTACTTATCAGCACATTAAAATAATGCTGTGGTCCACCCTGGTCATGATGGTTTCGGTAAAAGCATTGTCCCATGGGTATATTTCTGCACTACGGACTTAAATTTCTGTTTTGTAAAGAAAAGCCATGAGACTTGACACAAGACACATGAGGCTGGTGTCTTGTTCCACATTTATTTTCTATAACCATTTAGCCCAATACATGGTCACGGTGAGCTGGACCCTAACCTGACAGACAATGGGCACAAGGCAGAGTACACAATGGCTGGGATGCCAGTCTATCACAGTGCACACACATACACAGGTTAGTATAGAGACATCAGTTCATTTAGACACATGCCTTTAGACTGCTGGAGGGAGGTGTTAGAATACTCACATACTGATACACAGTTCCAAACCCAGGAACAAAGAGCCAACTTGTTTTTGGTCAGCTATTATTAATATGCCATTATCCCATGAACTGTTTACAGTTTCCTTTACAGTTATACATTTTTAGTTATTTTCCAGTTGTAGAGCTGCAAAGATGCTGTACATTATTTTCCTCCCAGACTGAAATATTCATTTTTGTTCCTGTCTTGGGTGTTTATTTTATGAATTTATTTTTCCCCTGGGTCTATATCTCTGTGTATTCCTTTTCTGTCTTTGAATCTTTATGCCTTTTGTACAATCTGTAGAACATTCTTCTTTTTTGTTTTTTATCTGATTTCCTCACAAAGACATCTCCATGATTTGGACAAACTGTTGTAAGGATTGATTTGTTTTGAATCTTTAGTATTGTGTGTATCAATTCTAACCTCCCTTCTTCTATTGACTGGGATTCCTGTTAAGATTCCGGGTTAAAGATTCCATTCTTAAACCAGGTTAAGAATCAATCATTATCCATTCAACTGTCTCAATTTCAATTCTAATTTACGTGTGAAGAACTGAAATCTCCCAGTAATTTTTGTTTTAACTGGAAAAGTCAATTCCCATTTTCAAGGATGACCTGGCTAAGAGGCTTAAACATTTGCGGGGCGTAAACCTCTTCTGTCTATCTTGTATTTTTCACTTACTCTTTCTTCATGATACTGTATCTCTCTATTACCCATATTTCAGTATTCCTAATTATGTTACAATTCCCTATGAATGTATTCCCCTCTGTCTCATGCATTGTTCCTAATAATTCTGGTCAACATACAGTATAATTACCTGGGCCTTTTACATTTCTCTTTTTGGCTGTGCTTCCTCTGTGGTTTCATTGCAGATTTTCTTTGATTTCACCCCCCTTTCTATTCTATTTGACATGTTTTGCAGTTTGTAGATCTTTGGCGCGCATTGACTGGAAACCCTCCCATTTAGATGTAATCCATTCAATCTAGCCTGTTACAGAGTACACAGTAGCAAATTGATCCAAGGATCTCATCCAGCCATTTCTTGAAATAAATCAGGATATCAGTTTCAACAACATTGTTCCAGATTCCCACATATGGCTACTGAGCATCACCCAGGTGGAAGCTTCACTTCAGCTATAGCAAACATAGGACTCTTCTCTGATGCATTCTGGGATCCTTTGGAACGAACAGCACTACTCAAATGCAAAGAGTTATCATTATAGGAATCATTGGTGTGACAGTGGGACACATGCCTTAAAAAGTCTATGGAAAGTATGTGGAAAAGGAATGTGAGCCTTGTTACTGTTTATACCTATAGCCAAGGGAGCTCTTGTTACTTTATTGAAAAACCATTGTCAATAAACTGTTAAAATAAGCAACAAAAATGACATTCAATAAGCCAGCTAGGTATTCCCCAAGGCTGTCTGAGAACTGAAATACACAGATCAGAAGAGAAACCTTTTATACATAACACCAATCTGATGTCTGGCTACTGGCTACTGGCTGTAATGTATTATTTTAATTTATCTTAAAACTCCATCGCAAGAATTGACACAAGCAGTTCTAAACAGGAACAGAAGGCAACTGACCTGCTTTTCTTTTTTCGACCAATGTAGCCCAAGGGGAATGCTCCATCCGGTCGGGGTTGAAGATACTTGAATTCCACAGCCTCACTAGTCTCTGGCCTTTTGATTTCTGTAGAAAGCCTAAACCTGCTGTGTCAAACATTTAATTGGTTTTACATTGTGGACTAATGATCTAATGGTCAGACTAATGGTCTGCAAATGCATTTTACTTGCAACATACAGTAGGTATGATTTAAACTTTGGCAACCAGGGGTAAAGGTATTAAAACTAGATGATCCACTCAGCAACCAGTTACTCTTAATTCTTGAGATGACAAATTGTGCTGAAAGGTTTTTTGTGATCCATAGCCTTCCTTAAAACATTCCTAGTCCCCCTATTTACTTGGTTTCTTTTAGTGAAGGCTTGACTTAAAATGTAATAATAAATTAACTGTTGTTTTGGGATCTTCTATACTGACAGGCAAAATTATCATTGATGGTATTGACATCTCCAAGCTGCCTCTGCACACACTACGATCCAGGTTGTCCATCATCCTGCAAGACCCTGTGTTGTTCAGTGGATCTATTCGGTGCGTATGGCTGTGTGATTGAGGTCCGAGCAACGTGGTGCGGGCCCCGTCCAACATTTTTGAGGTCTTCCTGTGCACTTTACTTTGCATTATGGGAATAAATACACAAGAAACCCATTGCATGCTTCACGAGGGTGAATCTCAGGTATGAGATTTCCTTGACCCTGGTATTACTTTCCTGTGCCAGGAATCTAAAAAAAATGACTTCCTGCTCTTTATTTATCCCACGCAAATTAAAACATACTGTAAATAGTGTTCTTAACAAAGCTTTATTAAGAAATGTCCTGTTGCTGTTCTTTGGCCATAAGTGGAAGATCTTCTTGCTATGTCATAATAAAAATACACAGTGGACGTCTTCCAGATAATATAAGCAAGTACAGTAGCTTTAAAACTGTAAAAGAATATAAAAAATCTATGTTTTTAAGATAGGAAGTGTATATGTAAAAAATCACTATCAAAAATCATTCTTTCTTTTTAGGATGCATTTGAAGTCAAATGCTTTTGCACATACTGTACTGTAATTATGAGATACAGTCAGAGCTGCAATACAACAGCTGGTATTTAGTATACCATGGATGTTTATGCTGTAGTGGATTTTTGACAGATACTGTAAATAACATTTAAATGTAAGAGTCAGGGGTGTGTTGAAGCCATGCTGCATGTGTTGAATCCTTGAACCTTTCAAAAATAGCCTGATGAAGTTTTTGGATCAATAACCTCTTGACATTTTGCAGACTGTAACGGGCTGTTTGATTCTCATGCTTGTAAATCAGTGAGACAGTCCGAGAGGACATGATGCAATGCTCCAGTGAACACGTCGTTAACAGAAGGAATTCAGAAGCATTAGTTCTTGCAATTGGAAATCCCTCCTGATCTCTATTCCTGGAGCCTTCCGGCTTTCACTCAGAGCCTGTGCGGTTCCTATTATGGAAGTCTTTAAATCTTTTTAACAATTATTGAGAAATTAACATTTTGATTCTTTATACTTTACTATATTCCTCATTTCTTATTGGTTTGGGATGCTATAAGACTACACTAACACTACATTGTAGAACTTGAGCTCATTTTCATCATATTAGAGTGGGCATTAAAGTAGTCCAGTGCTTGTAATGCTAAAGATCCACATCATGCACAATTGCAGGTGTTTAATGCTGTTTATTCTTTCTCCTATTTCATTCTATAGCTCTTCAGGTATGGAGCTAATCCATTTCATGGTTTGACAGAAATGGCAGCAATTATCCTATATTGTTACTATGTTATTTATTGGAAGTACTGCTGTGCTGAAGAATGAAGTCATTCAAAACAAACAAGGCTTTAACAAAGTTCTCTCTTGATACTTGTCCCCTGGAATTGTAAGAGCCTTGCTCTGAGCTGGTGGGACAGTCCACTGACTAGCAACTTGAATTTTACAGGTTTAACTTGGACCCTGAGCGCACCTGTACTGATGACAGATTGTGGGAGGCACTAGAGATTGCCCAGCTGAAGAACATGGTCAAATCCCTTCCTGGAGGACTAGGTAAAGCAGCAGCTTCACAAATACTTATTACAGAGTGATACCACTATCAGAAAAGACAAATATTGACAGGGAAAAAATTATTCATCTCTGAGAGACAAGTGAAGAAAAATATGAAAGCACTGTTGGTCCCTCAAAGTTTCTGAGTTTGGTTTACGGGATTCCCAGGACTGGCTATGTTTATTTATTGCTTGTTACCAAAATAAAAATAAAGTTGATAAAAAAGAGAAATATTCACAACTTTCTAAATTATATCTGACTCATTTACTTGCACAAATACTTTTTTACAGTCCGTGTGTGGAAAGGACTGTGACCAATGTGCTCTAATAAGGAAGTAAGGAAGTGCTCTTATAAAAATGATTACTAGTAGCAGAAACAGGGTGGCGCAGTGGAGCAGTGGTTAGCATTGCTGCCTTGCAGCACTGGGGCCTGGGCTTAATTCCCAGAGTGCTATCTATGTGCAGATTTATGTTCTCCCCAAGTTCACATGGGTTCCTTCGGGTATTCCAGTTTCCTGGTACAGTCCAAAGAAATACTGGCAGGTTAAGTGGCATCTGGGAAAAATGAAGATCCATCCAGGGTGTATCCTGCCTTGGGTAAGCCCATTGCTTACCAGGATAGGCTGTATTAGATAAAGCACTTGGAAAGTGGATGGAGTAGTACACACAGTAACAGTGATTATGGTAGCAAGATTCAAGATTGCTTTATTTGTTATATACAACAAGTGTATATAACATTTATCAAGGTTATAAATTTATAAATTCGAATGCTTACTCATTCAGCTGTACCCAGTAACATTACAGAAAGAAAATAGGCACAACTGACAGACATTTATTTACAATAGACATTATACTGTAATATAATACAGCCAAGATGGGACATAGTGCAAACAGTGCAGTACCTTAAAGTGCAGGTGCAAAATGTGCAGGTGCTAATTAGAGCTGTGGACTGATGTGGACTGATGTGGACTGCTTGGAGGAAGAAGCTGTTTTTGAATCTTTTCGTCAGTGTTCTGAGAAATACCTCCTACCAGAACCCAGGCATGAATTGGGTCCCGAAGTATAGCAGCAGTCGAGATATATCCGGTCCATGTAGGGTAGCTCAGTCCCAGTGATTTTCTGCGCGGACCTCACAACCCTCTGTACGGCTTTTCTGTCCTGTACTGTTGCTCCACCATACCACACCGTAATACCACCGCTCAGGACACTCTCGGATCGTATTACGTTAAAAATAAGCCGTAGCGGAAGAGCAGCTTTATGAAGTGTGACTGGGCGGCCATGTCTCAGCTGCTGTCTGCATTGCAGATGCGATGGTGACGGAGGGCGGGGAGAATTTCAGCGTGGGCCAGAGGCAGCTGTTCTGTCTGGCCCGGGCCTTCGTCCGCAAGAGCAGCATCCTCATCATGGACGAGGCGACTGCCTCAATCGACATGGCAACGGTGAGCCGCTACTCCCTCGCTGTACTTTTTTTATTCTGCCATAATTAAAATTATCATTGTAATTATGACGAGCTATTTGTACTGTACGTCATTACCGGACAGTGCCATTGGTTATGTCATCCAATATGTTTTTTTTTTTCCTTTTTGCTAGGAGAACATTTTGCAGAAGGTTGTGATGACTGCCTTTTCAGATCGCACTGTTGTGACCATTGCTGTAAGTATCATGACATCTGCCAATGGAGATCATGGTTTGCAGGACTGTTAATAATTGATATTTTTTTCCAATTAGCTCCTGCTTTTATGTTCTGTGATCCTTCTTATCTGATTCGTATCTTATCTTAATTACATTAACATATGGGGGTAACATAATTTTTTTTTTCCCATAGATTAAACTTTTTTCAACCTGCTGTTCTTTTTACCATTTCCTTCAGCTAGTATACAAATACCCAATATACATGAAGTTGTTCAAGTAGGTACAGTAGCTGCGTCAGCATGCTTAGGCTGCAAAGGAACAAGTAAAGGTTTATTCCATACTGAAAAGAGAAGAAAAGAAACACAAAGTTTCGGCTGTGGAGCCTTCTTCAGGTGTGGGTGTGGTGACACCCAAAGAAGGCTCCACAGCCGAAACTTTGTGTTTCTTTTTTTTCACTTTTCGGCATGGAATAAACTTTTACTTGTTCCTATATACATGAACCTTGATAAATTGTAATTGTTCTCTGTTTTTAAATCACATGGAGTTGACATATTGCATATATATCGAGCAAGGACTGACTAGTCAAGTGAAACTTGAGACTTATTGAATAATGAATATTGAAATGCAGGGAGTAGAATTTGTCATTTCTTTCAAAGACATATATTCAAAGAAATTGATTTTTTTTTGTGTCTATTCAATACCCTTTTTCCATTAAAAAAATACCGGAACTCTGGAACAGAAAGTACACTAATAGGCTATAGCTCTCTTTCTTCAGCACTCAACAATATATTTGCAACATTTCAGTCTGATTTGCAGTGACTATATACTCATTTTAAATCATGAATCCATGAGCAAAAACAGCAAAAATAGTTAAAGAAGAAAATGAAGTGTGCAATTGTTTAAATACAATGATCTAGCCCTATAAAAACAAGTTCTATGGATTCCCAGTGATATGATTATAAATCCAGTTATCACACCCCAGCTGTTTCTCTCTCTGTCTCTGAATCTTTCACTGATTGTTTTTCAATTCCTTGCAGTGCTCTTTGTGTCCGCCCCAACCCCCTCCCTGTCCACGATATTTCTCTTCTTTGTGTCTTGCTGCCTGTCCTTCTGTCTATTTTTCTCTACCTCTCTCTCCTCTCCAGCACCGCGTGTCCTCAATCCTGGAGGCTGCGCAGGTTCTAGTTTTCTCCTCGGGAATTTTAGTGGAGTGTGACACTCCCGCCAACCTGCTGGCCCAGGAGGATAGCCTCTTCACCCTTTTAGTGCGGACACACAAGTAGCTCCTTCGCGGCTCTGCGGCTGCACCAGTCCGGGTGCTCTGGTTGGTAGATTTTGTGCCCCTCCCCTTTGCCAGTGTCCAATCCATGGCCTCCGCTAGAGTGTGAGATTTGCATTTCTACCCTCTAACCTTTTATCTAGTAACTCAAGTGCTGTGCTTTTCTGTGGGTAAACCTAATGAGGACTGCAGGAGTGTTGTCATTCAATTCGTTTAAACACTGAAAGGGGGCGGAGCAGTGGCTCTGTGGCTAAGGATCTGCGCCTGTGGCTGGAAGGCTGCCGCTTCGTATCCCGCGGCCGGCAGAGGAATCCTACTCCGTTGGGCCCCCGAGCAAGGCCCTTAACCCCAACTGCTCCAGGGGCGCTGTATAAATGGCTGACCCTGCGCTCTGACCCCAAGTTGTCCCTGTCTGTGTGCCTCATGGAGAGCATGTTGGGGTATGCAAAAAGACAAATTCCTAATGCAAGGAATTGTATAGGGCTAATAAACTGATCTGATCTGAAAATAGAATTTTCTCTGTTCCCAGTGGAGGAGAGGGGATTTACACTGCTACAGTATATACTATAAGAAAGGTCCTTGGGCGAATGTTAATCTAGTTTATGTTTTCCTTTACAAGTCCTGTAATGCTGGGGATGTGCAGATGGATTTAAGGAGAGATAATCAGAGATTTTATGGGCATTATGGCTACTGCCTTGTTGACACTCTACTGACCTGCCTGAGAACATGAACAGACTTTATTCAGGTTGTGATTTTTAACCCCACCAACAAGTGCACTTGTCACCCAGTATAATAACACAGGTGTTATTTTATGTATTATTTTCCTTTTTGAGCACAACATTTCTGGCTAGTCTGTCAATTAAAACTAAAACATTCCTTTGGTCCTCAGAAGGTTTGGTTGTGTTGTACTTGATTCAGGTCTCAACATTTCTGCTTGTCTATGCAGCAGGCCATTTGGGGGCACAAACCAGTGTGATTGAAGAAAACCGCAAAACCGATTAAATGCAGAAACTCCTGGGTCTTCTGTTGCAGTAGCAATTATATATCACTCGAAGAGGGCAAAATCTAATGAAGTCAAATCGTGAGCTTTAGATTTAAAACTGATCTACATTTAAATGTATATTGCAGCTTCAACTAGAACTGAAGTTGATGATAAACCTACAAAAATATACAAATAAATCATATTTAAACAGTGTATGTGCAGATCCTGGATAACCACTGTTCCTCAACACTCCTCCTATCAATGGACGTTCCTACTGTGGTAAAACTACCCCTCTGATTCGTTTACTGTGGATGGGGCATTCTTCCTGCAGTTTGACCACGACAGGATTTCTAAGGGCCTGTTTGTTTTGACCCTCCTCATAAGCAGAAAAAATTCTACTTGGCCACAGTTGAAACTGACTCAGAATTTATTTATATTTTTGAACTGAGAGATCTTGGGGAGTGTGCAAGCCATTTATAACTTGAATGGAAAAAACGATAGTAAGCCTCTTTTTTTTTTTTAGTGACAGACGTTTCAAAACTAACTCATCTTTGGCACCCAGCTGGAGGAAGAACAGAAGAGCTGGGGTCATAAACACTGTAAATGTCAATTTAGGAAATGGTCCAAAAGAAACAGTCATTTTTTCTGGGTCGTACTTGTACATTTTTGTTGATTGTTTTAAATAAAATAAAATGTTGGTCCTAGGTAAGAATCCTAAAATACTGGTATTATTAATTGCATCTGAATAAACAGAAACCCAATGCTCAGATAAATCCAATTAAATTAAAAAGATAAAACAAGTTCTTGACTGATCGGTTCAAAGCCTTAGTTCCTGATAATGCATGAACCCAGTTTTGCACCCACCTTTATGCACCAGCAGCCCCACTCCACGTCAGTTCAAGTACCAGATGGGAGAGATACAGTATTGCTTTAACAAATTGAATTGAATTAAGAAGGGACTTTAGGAAGGTCAGATTATATAATCCCAGAGCAGGCTTTTGCCTGGACACCAGAGTTAACAGTCCTACTCTTTTGAAAAGTGCCATGGGGATCTTTCATAACCAAGCAGTCAGAACCTTGGTTTAATGTCTCACCTGGAAGAGCGCAACTCCGACACACAGTGCCACTGGTCACCTTACTGTGGTTTTGTTGTTTTCAAAGTTGTAGTCCAGAGGGAAGCACTGGTCTGCCACTGTTACTGTGCCCAGTGGCATCCTCCCATTCATACTTATCTTATATTCATATCTCTTCAAGGCTCCACTGTGCTCTGATGCTGTGTGTTATGCGTGTGTTGCAGCATCGTGTTCACACTATCCTGACGGCAGACCTGGTGATTGTGATGAAGCGCGGGAACATCCTGGAGTACGACAAGCCTGAGATGTTGCTGGAGCAAGAGGACAGCATTTTTGCTTCCTTCGTCAGGGCCGACATGTAGCTCAGCTCCTGTCCTCAGCGCATTGCATGTGTCCAGGGCAGCCTCTTTAATCAAGACAGCAGGCTCCAGATTTATCAATCAATTAATCAGTCAATCAGCTGTCGTGCTTTAAATTGTATTTTTTTCCTGGTGACGACCATCGAAAAATTCCTTTATGGTAAGTTAAAAAAAGACCACATGTCAGGCATGTCAGGAAGATGGACTTAAAATGACTGAACAACTGCCTCAGTAATAAATAACATGAAGTTAAACGTTTGATAAAGGGCTCAATATGAGCATCTACAGGAAACACACATGTTTTAAGCAAGGTAACTGTGAAACACAACAAGGGCAGTTTATGCAATAGCAATTTATTGAATTTATTGATTGTTTGATCAATTGATTGAACATTTTTATGAGCATGGTCGTATTTTATTTTAAAAAAAACTATCACAGAAAGTCTTTAAATATTTGTATCTTTGTTACTGTTGATAAGTGCTACATACGTTCACATTTTTGTGCAAAAGCAATAAAGGCAATGCATCATTCTTCAAATGCAGGAAAAGAAGGCTGGTTTAAAAATGCTTTTACTGTATGTTGGTCTTCTCATGTTTTATCTTGAGTCATGGGAAACAGACTGCTGCCCTTTACATCCCTGGAAGCTTTTCTTGTTTGCTTCATTAGATCAAGGGCACAGCCATGATCACATGAGATCCCCTGCTGCTCAAATGTATCTGACATGTACAGTACCTAAGAACACCTTAGTCTTATCCCGATGTACTGAAAGAAGAAACACAACCTGTTGTACCAGCTTATTATGCACAAAGCTTTGTATCATTTAATGCTGATGTCTGCTACACAGGGTTCTGCTTGATTCATGTACACGCAGAGCTTTCTGCACATTTGCACTGGGCTACTGTTGTTTTCTTAACGGTAATTACATGATGCAAAGAGACCTTAGGAGACATGTGACTTCCTCAAGTAATTAATGGTACAGTATATAAAGAATATGAATTTTACAGTTTTCTTGGGTAGATAATTCTGATGGTATTTGGTTAATTAGGTACTGAATGTATTTTATCAGGAATGTTAACAGACTTGAAACAGATTTCTTCTGAACATAGAAAAATGAAAAATGAAAGCACAACATGTGACTGTTACTTGCAGTGTACTGTACAAATTCAGAAGATGTAATAATCCATTATATACTTCAGGTCATACTGTGCGTACTTTGCAATCATAACTTCTGTTTTGGTTTAATAAATCTAAGAGAGAAAGAGTAAAAACATGAGTGGAGCAGAAAATAGCTTTAATCATTCTGGTGACGATATGCAAATGAATTTGCATAAAACACATATGCAAATGATTGTATGGTTGGTTATAATGAAGTTGTAGGTTCCAAATATTTTGGCCCATCACTGAACTGTTTGTGTCCATCCTGCTTATGCTTCAATAGCCGTGTTTTCAAGGTCAACAGAAATAACAAAGCATAACTCAGCGAGACAGTAATAGAGATTGCTTCTCTTCTTTGTATACATCTCTCAAATCACAAAGGATTAGCTTTGCAGATTGCATTTGGAGTCTTGTCTTTATATGGGCATTATGATTTTTGTATTTGGGAAATATTTGCTCAAAGGAGGTGTGCTTTATAAACAAAACCATTGTGATTAGAAGAGTCATTTACAAAGCTCACTCTCTCCCCTAGGACGAGGTATGGTACAATATGCTGGACCGCTGAAGGAGGGTCTGTTTTATAGATAATAAATGTTTCTGTATATATACACTCCTGTCCACAAGTCTTAGACATTTGCATAGGTTTCATACTGTCACTTAATGTTTTTTCTTTATTTAATTATATAATCTATTCTGTGGTGATCTTCTACTGAAATTTCAGCCATTATGTTTTGAGCTAAGAAAAAATAATGATGAGGAACAACTGACAAAGAGTTCGATATTATTAGTAAACTACAACGCTACACAGAAGCTACTCATGTAAAGTTCACATGGAGTTGTTATGGTCATGTTTTCGAAGCCAATGTGAATTAAAGATTGTAGAATGACAAGTTAGATTTCTTTTCACACACTAAGCTGTATTGAAAACAGCCTAAGCTGTTTCAGTAGTAAAAACACTAGCAAAATTGTTGCTGCTCGTAACATACATGCATATATTTTAACTCCTGATTGAATTTAAGGTGTCTGAGACTTTTGCATCATCCATGTTATGTGTGTGTATACATAAACAGATTATTAATATTTTTCTTGACTTGGAATGATGGACTTGGATGCTGAGTTATTCTTTTAAAGGTGGATACACAGCAATGTGCAATTAAAACTTTCGTACGGACATTAACTTACCAACAGTATTACTGCCGAAAGTTACAAAGGCCGCTCTGATCAATTCTGTCACCCCTTCTCTTTGGTGCTTTTATTTTAAAAGAAAATTGGTATGTGCACAAATATTGATTATTCACATGGCATTTGTGTGAGAGCTGACTATGCAAATGAGCAATTCCATCCCAAGTACAATTTACCGAGATATCCATATACAGTAGGATGGTAAAATAATACATTTTGCTTTTTATGATATCTACTGTAGTATGTTCCCTGAGATTGATAACACATGAAGCATTTGAATGTGTTTGTTGCGTCTGGCCCTTTTATTGCTGGTTACTAATCTGTATTTTCTAGTGTAGCTACATACTGTACCACTGTGAAAGGCAGATTCTCTAGAAATCCAAGACAAGAGCATCTTAGACAGTTTTACTTATTTTATGTGTACTGGCTTACATGTATAAGTCCTCAGTGGCTGAAATTTAACTGGATTCAATTATAGGAGATTTTAATGGCAGGAGACCAGAAATATTGGTCATTTTGACAAATTATGTGAACATCTTAAATAATTAATTAAGAGCTCTGGGCACCAAAGCCAGAAAAACGCCAAAAAACTGATTTCGACATCTCTAGCTTAGACAGCTCATAAACCACAACCTGAATGGGTATGAAATATCTCCTGAATCTACTGAAATCTGTTTTTGAAAGTGTTACAGTATCTGGCTGTTGCATACTTAACCACTTTAAGAGAAAGCAAAGCTTCCCTAAATTGAGTAATTTGTATGGAAAAAGTGACATATGAACATAACAATCATTATCTACCGTATAGAATGGATAAATATATAATGAAACAGTTGGACTCATAAATCTTTCCTTTGAAGATGCAATCCACTTTTATCTGTCTCTGAAATCTGCATTAAACTGCAGATATTAATGGCTTTGCAGAATTCATCTTAAAAGCCATTAATAGTCCTTAGACCTTCATATGAGATGATACAAATCATCGGTTTTTCTTTTCTGATTAGATCACGAGGATACTCTATAGTTGGGCTTAAAGGAAAATTTAAAGGCGTCTGGTGTGTTATGAGGTATAATTCTGCTAAATCCAGCTCTGCCTTACCACAGTGCCAAATAATAGATTCTATACTTTGAGTACAATTATTGTTTTTTTTACTGTTGTGTATACTTACAGTAGCTTTCACAATTGTCTTCTTTATACCAAAACTCTCTTCCAGCATTGTGATTCTTCTGAAGAATACCACTGATGCCTGCAAAGGTATTTCGTTCACTTTGGGGTTGTGAGGAATAAATATCATTAATAAAGATTATTTCTTTTGTCTCTAGAATATATGTTTAAGCTAGGAAAACACCTCTGTAAAGAGATAGAAAGCTTTTATGATTTTACTTTTCATCTCTGCTTTTTAATGGGGAACAGCTCCGATTGCATTTTTTCATTCAAGTTTGCATTTGCCTTTCAGCTTTATAACTGATTTTCTTTTTGTCTTAACTTTACATATCAATTATGATGTTTTTGACAGTTTAAAATGGAACATTTAACAAAATGTACAGTTTTTTACACTTGAAACTTTTACTGGCAATAAAAAAATTGTGTTTTGTGTGAAACTAATTTTCTGCATCCTCTTCAGCTGCTGCTGACATTATTAGGCTCTACTCAGGTGGCATTAACAGTACTGTATCTTTGTCAGAAATGATGTAGTGCAGTGTGTGAGTTATTAGTTGTATCATGCATTATCTCAGGTTCAGAAGAGTGTTTTTTTGCATTTTGGGATATTTTTTTAGAATAACATGAGCTTTTAAAAGATGCGGAGCGGGTAATTATAAGTCTTTGAAAGCAGGTAGTGAATAACATAAATATTTAGATACATAAATATATTCATTTTGCCACTAGTATATCTAATTTGTACAGTGCAGTTTATTTGACTTCCTTTAACCCTAACACTGAAGACCTGTTAGGGATTAACCTAACAGTTTGGGTGTTCCTCATGAAACAGAACAGCAGCTGTTTCTATATTCTGAATTAAAAATACAAATATTAAGGGATTATTGACTGAAGGACTTTGCTAATGAAACCGAATAAAATTAGAATAACTGAATACAGAACTATTGAGTCAAAAGCAGTATTTTTCCAAAAACAAAGTGGCTTTTCCCAAATATAAAATGCATAGTTTAGCCAGGTCTCTTGATCAGATCACTTTGTATACTATGGTTTGAAAATACAGTCTGGAAATCTAATTATATCTGTGTGTCTCGATTATTTACAATAAGTTTCAATCTACTTGATTTTTTTTAAACTCACTGCATAATACATTATGATTAAGATCTTGGCAATATTTAAAGACCTGCAGGAAAACAGTAAAACAAAAATATTTTGCTGTCAGTAGACCCTTTTTTTCATCTCGGATTTAATTTCCCAGATGTTAGCAGTTGTAACACTAATTTTCGTCAGATCGGTTTATAGAAGCCGTCTGTTCTAAGAAATGACGGCATGTGCTATAATAAAATACGTCTTTAAACATCTCAAGCCTAGACTAGACCTTTTCTGCCAAAAATAATTTATCTGTTGAAATACTCAGTTGGTGTTGTTAGTATTTAGATTAGTGCTTAAGAGAAAAAAAAATAAAGTTCACTTCCAATAAACTCCTTTTGCATAGATGACTGGGTTTTTTTTTCTTCGAATCCAGTACTTCACTTTCGTAACTAATATAATCGCGCACGATCTGCCTGAGCTCCTTACTTTGCGCTGACTTGCTCTCTGGTGCCACCTGGTGGGCACACTGAATGACACTTCAACGATTTTGGATCGTGAGAACTGCTGTTGGGACCTTTTGATTTAAAGAGGAACAGCGCCTCTATGTTTACATTTCGGGGTTAGAAAGAATCGGCCTTGAACGCATTTCAAAGCACAATGAAACTAAAATGCACACATTAACTTGCCAAATCTCTAAATTACATCACAAAACAGACATATAAACACATTCCCAGGCATGCGCTGAGCTCTGTAATTCAAAACAAGGCAACAAAACTTCGGTTGAGGAGTAGTGGCCCTATTACATTGTGAACAATCATGAATGCATTGCTTTTAATCCAATAGGAATATTGATCTCGATTTCAAGACGATTTTGCCGACAAATACTTCTTACTTGTTAACAGAGCTGGAAAATTTCTGTGGTGAAATATCTGCTGTACAACCTGTATTTAATGTGCTCATAAGTCGCATTACATTTGCCATTAGGGTGACTAGAGAGCAAGAAGGGCCCCTTCACATCTCAAGTCTCGTCAGCTCTCGCTCTCAGCTATCACTTTCACAAAGTTCCCAGTTCTGTGCGTAATTCAGAATTGGTCAAATTTCGCAATACCATCAATTCCCATTTGTTTTGTTACTGGGATTAAATCACCAGTCTGAGAAACTGGGAATGCAGCTACAAAC